GTAAAAAATTTTCTAGCGAGGGCTAGACGCTTGTCTAATCTCCTCTTAGCTAGCTAGTGATCGAATACAAAATGTCAGGGGCTCGACCCTAGAGGGTAGTCTTAAGCTTAGGAGCACGATTGAACAGGCCAAGGTAACAAGATTGTATTTGATAGAGAGCTAAGCTCTTGGCTACGTAGCTATCTATATACAATGCTGGTTGCTAGGGTAACAATCAGGCCGGGCAGGTGGAGTAAACGAGGTCGTAGACGAGTATGGGAGGCGAAGGGCGTTCAGCCTGTTACAACGTTAAGGAGTGAATCCTTCTTCTTACTTCTAATACAAGTATGCTTTTATAACACCACTATATCTTCTTTATAGATTGATTTTCTTTTCTTAAATTTACTTATAGTACAAATAAGATATATTACTAATTTAATTAATATATAACGTGTTTCACCAGTAAGCGGGCCACCCTAGTATGTGGGCCACTTCCCTATGATATCCCACATTTGCAACAACAACGCGTAATGTCTTAATAACGCAACGCGTTAAAAACTTATACTAAAGCAGATCTATTTCTTGCTATTACTAATCTTAATTCTAAACAAATTTAGAGTGAACGACGCGCTGCTGCCACCTATAGCGTCCCACAAACAACAATCTAGCGTCGACGAGCTGGACAGCGCCCTTGAAGCGATTAGGAGCCACTAGCAAGGCGCCTAACAAAACTAGAAGAGGAGGCTATTACTATGCGTGTAATAGTCGAGGCTGAGCGAGGACTACCCTGTGGGAAAGACGACGTGCGAGATATGGCCAACAGACTGCTCCGAGAGCGTGGCGGGAAGGAGGTGGGCAAGAACTGGGTTGATAGGTTTGTCCAGCGCAATCCTGAGCTGCGTACGCGCCGGAGCCGTCCATACGATCACCAGCGAGCTCTCTGCGAAGACCTAGCGCTTATTAAGGGCTGGTTTGAGCTAGTTTAGAATATGAAGGCAAAGTATGGTATCGTGGACGAAGATATCTATAACTTTGATAAGACTAGCTTTATTATAGGCAAGATTTTATTATAGTTAGTTATCATAGGCTTAGACAAACTAGGGAGAATAAAGAAGATCCAGCTAGGCAATCGTGAGTGGGTTACGCTAATACAAGGCGTTAGCGCAACAGGCACGCGTATCCCAGCGTTTCTTATCTTCGCTAGCAAGGTTCTGATCTCTACCTAGTTTACGGAGGATCTGCCACGCGACTAGGTGATCTAAGTTAGTCCTACCAGCTGGACGAACAACGATCTAGCGCTTGACTGGCTTCGTTACTTTAATTCCTATGCGCGGCCTGTGGGGACGCATAGGCTGCTTATTATTGACGGCCATGAGAGCCACTGCTCGGTGGATTTCCGAGATCTCTGCGAAGAGATGAAGATAATCCTCCTCTGTATGCCTCCCCACTCGTCGCACCTCTTACAGCCTCTTGATGTGGGCTGCTTCTCGCCGTTAAAGCGCGCGTATGGTGATGCTATCTCGGTCTTAGCACGCAATCGCATCTACTATATTAGCAAAGAAACCTTCCTACCAGCGTTTAAAAAGGCCTATTATAAGGCTATTACACCAGAAAATATCCGCAGAGGGTTCTGAGGTGCTGGACTTTCACCGCACGATTATAACGTTGTTTTATCACAGCTTAACGTCATGCTACGTACGCCAACTCCACCAGCGCAAGAGACTACTGCTTGGGAGCCGAAAACGCCGCGCAACGCGCGCGAAATGGAGGCGCAGGCTACGCTTATTCAAAACTGTATGCAAATCCAGCAAGGGTCTCCTACAAGTTCTCTTAAGGAGCAGATATAGCAGTTAAGTAAGGGAGCTTAGCAGATAGCTTATAATATAGTGTTAATGCAGGAGAAACTTAATCGCCTTAAAGCTACGATTACTAAAGTAACGAAGCGAAAAACTCGTAAGAGGCGCTACGTACAGGCAGAGGGGTCCTAGACAGTTAGCCAGATAGCTAATTAGATTGCTAAGGCAGAGGGTGGTAGCTATAATGATGGTGCAACGTCTGCGAAGAGGGTGCGTAGTGAACGGCGCTGCGGGCGTTGCAGCTAAATTGGACACAACTCTCGCACTTGTTAAGTAGAATTAGAGGATATAGAGGATAGCAATGCGTCTAAAGAATAATATCTTATTCTACTTAATAAAAAATATTGTAGTGGTGTTGCGCAATACTATTACAAAGATGTAATAGTTTGGGGAGGTGGCCCACATACTGGGGTGGCCCGCTTACTGGTGAAACACGTTATATTGTTTTGTTAATGAATATATCTATTATGAAGTGAATTAATATATAAATTATTATAGTAGATATGTATAACAAAAGCTATATCTAATTTTTAAGGTAATATTATTGTTAAGGTAATAGGCCTGTGGGGAGCACGGGCAGTTTCATTGAAATTCTGCTACAGCAGCTGTTGAGCCCGAGTATCTACTACGCTAAGGGAAACGCTAAACCTAAAGCAGCGTCTGAAACAGAGAAAAGAAACGGAGAACCGAACAGGCCCTTAATTGAGATAAAACGGAGAACGGAGAACGGAGGGCTGTTCGGAAAAAGGCTGTTCTCTTGATCACGTGATCTACCACGTAATACATAACTCACGAATTCTAACGTAGTATGATAGAACACAAATATTTTGAACGGAGTGGCGCCTTTGAAAGTACTACTCTTAGAAAATGTTGGACTCCGATAGGTTGTTAGACACGGAACAAGCAATAGAGAGTAGTTAGCTGCAGCTTGCAGTAGTGAATTCACGAGACGAATCCCTAGTCTCCTCTCCAGGTAGCCTGAAGGATTATATACCTATATCTGACTAAGATTATGATAAATAAGCTGGTTTAGGACGCAGGAACGTAATGTACTGGTGTTGAGCGCGCAACTGCGATGTCTTCTCAGTAGATAGAGTTGTAGCAGACTCACCAGAGTTCTCTTGGGCTGGAGCCTAAGATGATATCTTCTTCTCGTCGCATTACGTCCTATGCGGGACCCGAAACTCTGAAGAGATGTTAGTCAATTAATATGACTTAACAATCTATTCACAAAGACAGAGACGCACATCTTGGTAAGCACTAGGGCCACTGTTGTAACGTCGTTACAATCCTGCTAAGCACTAGACCCGACTCGGAACTAGATCGGAGTAACGACCTGCCGGCCCGAGTAGTCTTGCCTGCGCCGTTACAACTGTCACTCTGTGCACCGGCACAGCAGGCCCTGATATAGGCCCTTATTATATTACGTACGATGGATTGAGGCTTAAAGGATTGTACCCCTTACCAGGATGGATTTGTATAAAGTCGTGGTGCTATTTACGTTTTTTTCCCTCTCGGCTTTTGATATCATCATAGTCGTCCACCACATCACCACCTCGTGAACAACAAAGGCCCCTTATTTACTATATTGGACGGGACCACAATTACCAGTACGCATGCCTAACAACCATATTATCTAGAACCTCAGCACTTACCATCTATGAACGCAGTGCATCTTCTCCATTACCTCGTCGCTACCGTCGCTTTTACGGGCTACGCTCACGCAGCAACATATGTATACATATTCAGATTAATACAGACTATACCTGACGAGTACATACCCGCGCTATTGAAATGGGAAAGATCAGCATGCGAATCCCGTCCGCTTAACGGCGTTTGGCAACCAGCAATGTATCACTGCGCCGTTCCCCACCTGGTTACCGCTAGCCCTCCTCGCGCTTATGTTGTCGGAACTGGCCCGAACGCTGGAAATGTTCTGCAGCCGAAAGTTACTATGGATTGGGTAATGACCGTTGCTTGAAGATACGGTGACGCAGTAGGAGGAGGAGGAGGACGAGTACGAGTAGGGTTGGATAATATCAGTGTCAGTGCCAAAAACAAGTACTTGATATATCATCCCGAGTTGTTCTGATTACTTTCTTTTCTGTGGATTATCACAACAATGTTTTGCAGGGGGGGGGGGGTTTGTCGTCAAAATTCACATGTGAAGGTGCGTAGGTAAATTTGAAGTCTCATCTTCCCTTGTTTCTTCCCCATCTCGTTTCTTGATCCGATTTCCGCAAAGAAACAGAAGAATGGGTTTATGAGAAGAAGAAAGTTGATATCAGACACATTCATTTGGAAGGGGGAGGGGGGGAGAGCGCCTTTGCAAACTACTAGCACGTACACAGGTATAATAAGTAGGGCCCAAAGGCTGCAAAAGAATCAGCCAGTGTAAAATATCTACTTAGCGGAAAGAAAAAGCTCATGTCAGCGCGAATAAGCATCATCACCCTCATCATCATCAGAAAAAGAAAAAGAAAAGAAAATCACCACTACTGGAACCACACCATTGTATTACAAGCTTTTTAATCAACATGTCACGATACACAAACACCAAGTCTTCTCTTCCCTTTACCCCCTCTACCTCTATTCCTCTACGCCAATACAATGTTTAGATGACAAATTTATGCTTACTGATCACGACAACCAGCATCGCCATCGTGCTTATCCGTGTATGTACTGGCGGAAACTCTATTATTTGCAATGCAGCCCCGTGGCTGACCGTTAGTATCCGGCATGATTAAACAGGGCATGTATTGGAGCCGCTGGGGGAGGGGGTCGGTAAACCTGCAAGTGAGCCGAACACAAGACGCACGTAGTAAGTAATGTTTCTCAAAACACGGTACTCGTAGGCAACTCGTAGATTGTTATACATGCATACACAGTTATCTTTTATATGCCCCCCCGCCAAGAGAAAAAAACATATCGAGATGCAATGCTAGCCACACGACACCAAGCACCACCGTCTATTTAAACTGATCCTCGGTGACACCCTTGCCCATGGCCGCCGTGGAGCTAACACCTCCACTCACCATCTTGAGCAAATTATCGACATAGTTTGCGCCGCTCCACTTCTGGTGCGTGAGCACGTCAATCTTGTGCTCGGCTTCTGGTTCTTGGATGATTTCGCCGTACGCACGCATACCGTGCTTGGCGTAGGCCTTGGAAAAGGTATCGGCCATGAGGGCGCTCTGGTGCAGGCCCGCGAGCGTGATGAATTGCCAGCAGTAGCCCAGCTGCGCAAGGCGCTGGATGTAGGTTTCCTGCTCGTCGCGCGGCATGGTGGCTTTCCAGTTGAACGAGGGGGAGAGGTTATATGCGAGTCTGGTATCGTGTTAGTATGTGTGGTATGTCTGTAGCAAGATAAGAAACGTACTTTTGCTCGGGCCACACGGCATGCACGCCGTCAGCAAACTCCTTGGCTTGCGCGTAGTCTGGCAGCTTCGACTCCATCCAGATCATGTCGCAGTAGGGTGCGTACGCAACAGCACGGTTAATGGCACATTGGCAGCCGCCCTGGTACCGGTAGTATCCCTCTCGTGTGCGTGCCGCCTCCCAGTTGAAGTAGACGTCGACGCCCGTTAGGCCTTTGGCAATGGCACGCGCTTCAGAGTTGCTCTTGCCCTTGCTCTTCTCAAGAAACTCGGTGATCATCGTCTTCTTGTTCACGTGCACGCCCGCATTGATGGTGTCGGTAACGGCTTCGTGGAAAAGCTTGAGATTGGCCTCCTTGATCCAGGCATCTTCGATGGCTTGTAGTTCGGCGCCGCTCTTGCCTGCTTGCTCGGCGGCATACATGAGCTCGCTCAGTGGCTGGAGTGCGGGGTTGGTGCACCCAAGGATGTAGTGGTGGTCGCGGGGGTCAATGGTCGAAGTAATCAGCGTAGCGGCTTCGGAGTCTGTACGGGCAACAGCAAGGAGGTCGGTGCCTATTGATTGTCGTTAGCTTGAATTGACGTTTCGTTCAAGATGTCCTTACCCATAATGTCTGCTTGGGCTCGGATAGCAACCAAGCGGTTGATGTGCTCGCTGATGGGAACCAGCACCTTTCCAGCCATGTGTCCGCACTTCTTGGTTCCTGGCGCCTGGTCCTCAATGTGTATGCCAGCTGCGCCCTTTTCAATAAAGAGCTTGGTGAGCTTCATGATGGCCGTAAGACCGCCATGTCCAGTATCCGCGTCGGCGATGATGGGCCGCAGGTAGTCGACATTTGCGACTTTGGCACGCTCGGCTTTTGGCGTGGTAAGGCGTTCTTCGCGCTGCTTTCGGTCGTGGAAGAGTTGTGCCATGAACAAATGGCCGACCTTGTTTGGCACGGTCGTCTAAACAACATCAGCTTGATATTCAACTAGAAACTTTGTGGATGCTCACATAAGGGTAGTCTGCTAGATCTGGGCCTGGCTCATCCGTCGATGAAGCCGTCGACGAAGCTTGCCATCCAGAAACATAGACAGTATCTAGGTACTTTGCCATTTGCGTGACCATGACCGGGTCCAGGCAACCATATGTAAAGCTGACATCCTTGTTCTACGCATTGTCAGAACGTATTATCCAAAGATGGCGAAAATCCGTCGCGTTTACCTTGAATCGGCCCTCGACGATTTCCCACAGCTTCTTGGATTGGGCATTGCTGGGGTATGTAATCTTCAAATTGCCTCTCTTGGACACAATGTCCTCAGCGGTGAACGGCCTCCTGGTGTACCTCCACCTCGAGTCGGTCCACCACTGCTTGACCTCCTGGACCTCCTTCTGGAACTGAGCGTCCTCGGCGTCGATGTTGGCCATGATGTAGTTTTTGGTATGACGTGAGACGTAAGGTTGAACAACAACAACAACAACAACAATGACGACAACGAGAACAAGAACAAGAACAAGACGTTGTTCAAGACCAAGTAGGTGTTATTTCGTGTATGGTATGCAAGTGCAAAAGACCCCGAGTTGCAAGCAAGCAAGCCAAAGGGAGAGAGACGGAGGAAAAAAAAAGCAAGAGACCAAGTTTCCAATTGCTCAGGGAGGGAGACGGAGAGATATTATGACAATCAAATGACAATGGTCTCAGACACTGGAACAGCCTGTAGCCTCGGTTCAAACGGCGCACACCATCAGGGCTTGGGGGGGCAGCCAAGCATATTATAAGTACCGTGAACCATCAGCAGGAGCCATGCATCCAATGCATGCACATGGGGGGCGGAAGAGAGAGAGAGAGCTATCAAACTAGCACTAGTAAGCAAGCAAGCTCGCTCTCTCTCTCTCTCTCTCTCTCTCTCTGCTACCCACTAACACAGGCCACCAGGAAAAAGCTCGGGAAGGCCCGGTTGAGCGCGCCATTGGCCCGACGGGGCAAGCTATCCTCGGAACTTGGGGAGGGCAGAAAACAGCTCAAGGCGTACACTAGCGTGGGCAAGTCACGTTTTGGCTCGAAACAGCAGTGCTTGAGACTTTTTGTCCTCGGCCCAAGGGGCGGATCGCGTCCCGTCTGGGGTGAGAGTACAGTAAGAGCGTGACCGGGGCGTAGATCGGGGGTGGGGGAGGGGGGTTGAGCCAAGGGCCAGCGGAAGCTGTGACGAGGATGACGTTGGCCAATGTGCTTGGGGAGTGTTATGCCATGTCTTTGTGTGGTCATAGCTAGCTAATGCTAACACCACTACCACCACCACCACCACCACCACCACTTCCCCTCCTTCATTGTCCATCGACGTGTAGCTGGTGCATGGTTGCTCGTAGTTTGCGTGCACCTGCGCTGGCGTGACACGCGACCACCCACCCAATGCAATCTTCACATGTCGAGAGAGGGGGGTTGGTTCTTTGTTGTCGTCAGAGAGTCCCGCCGTGCCGTGTGTCTGGCTGTGCATGTGAAGAACACGAGCCCGAAAACCTGGGGTCGCGTGTTCGTTAGCGTGGCGCGCTGCTCCTTTACCTCGGCTGATCTTGGCCGCAACAAGCCATACCAGAACCGTCGTCGATCTACAGCGCCGCCTTTCACGAGCACACACACGGATATGCCTGCGCTGCTGCCCGGAAATCTGTCGGATAATACCGCTTCGTGAGGGGGGCAGGAGGCTCGGCAAACGTAAGCCATCCCAAACAGCCACGGGGAATCCGGCCCAGTCTTCGCCAATCACATGGGGCGGCCGTCACGAATAACGGGCTGGATACAACCAAGAACAGGCTGGACTGTATTCATTCGTGAAAGCTGAAAACGCATAGGTCCCTAGCCGTAGCCCTTGAGCAGGCCGTATGCATGGAGCGCGGATATTGACGCAACGCTCGTTGCCAGCCGCCACCAGTCCAAGCCATCCATATCCCGCACACCAGGGCACGCAGACCAGTCCTTGCTCACCAAGCCCGACATGCATTTGGCTGACTCAGCTCCTGCCCACGAGACACTCCAGTGTTTCATCTGCACCACAGCCCAGTAGCACAGCAACACCCGTACACCCACATCTACCAGCCCAACAATCTCTGGAAACCCAAAGCAAAAGCGCTGCGCTAGCAAGAGCTTCGTAACGGTTCTTCGGTACGGCCCAGCATGCTTCTGGCCCATGGAGCTCCTCACGAACCCATCTAATTCGGAATAAGGCCTGGAGCGGATGTCGTCTACATGGGCCTCTGAGCTTTGTGGTGTCACCGAATACGCCTGCTCACATGGTGGGCATCTCAGCTTCTTTAACAATGCCCATCGCAGCTCATCAAGGTAGCTTCTCTTTGCAAGCATCTTGTCTTCGTCTTCAATGCAAATGGACGATCGCTCCGAGAGCAACAGCGGAAGGAGTTTGGGACGGCATATCCACAAGGTCCTGTTCCGCTCGTCGGTAAAGATGCATTCGCGGTCGATGGCTTCCGAGGTATATGTGTAATGGATAAGCCTTGAGTAAAAGGCCGGGGTGAGCACACGAATCTCCATGTTCTGTTGGGGCCTGTCGGGCTCGGGGGCGCGTGTCGTGAAGATGATCTCGGGCTGTTCGTCGGGAATCGAGCATTGGAAGGTAATGCGGAACGAATATTCGGTCTGGTTTACCAGCTCACGCAGATAGTCCTGAAAGACCAGTTGGAGTGCACTGTTCACGTTAGTATTTGTTGTTTTGCAACGCACATGCAGACCTACATCTCATCAGACGTGGGCAGGCGGCCAATGCTCGACGTAAGCACCTCGGGCCTGAACCAAACATGAAGCTTTCTCTTGAAGAACAGCTTGCCCGCCTCCCGCAGGATACGGGGAAACGTGACCAGGCCAACCCACCACCAGCTCAGGACGAACCGCGCTGTTCCAACCAAGCCCAGCTGGTCTGGATCCAACGACGTGCCGGTGGAGAAGAGGCGGGCTACGAGCTTTCCGTAGTCTTTGGACGACTTGAGGGTAATGGTGTTGTCAATTCTGGGGTCACCATGGCCAACCGTCGGGAAGGGATCCTGGGCTTTGAGCGCGTACGAGCCCTTTCTGGAATTGAAGGGCGAAACGTGAAAGTCCTTCATCCAGACGTCGGAGAAGTTGGACTTGGCCCCATTCGCCTCGGACTCTGATCCGTCGTCGGCCAATGACCGGTGCGAGTCTGGCGTGCGAGGCGGGCTCGAGGGGCTCGAGCCGTCGAGCAGGTACATGCGCCTTTCGCCAAACGTGTTGTTGACCTCGAGTATCATGCGGGTGAGTTGGTGATGGCGGTCGTAGATGTACCAGAAGGAGACGGGGTTGAAGGCATAGCCGAAGAAGCGTGGTGCCGTTACCAGGTAGGCGTACTCCCACTCTGCGTCGGCAACATGCTGAGCCCTCAGGTACTTTTGCAGCTTGTAGTAGAAGCCAAAGGCGCCATGGCCCCGCTCGAGGTAGTCTTCAGCTCTTACCCGCAGCCACCATGGCCCCAAGGTCTGGTCCTCTCCACTGGGCAGATTAATCTCGCCGTGCTTGATGCCGCTCGGGACGATGGGGTATCCACACTGGAGGTACGAGTAGGCAAACGCGTGCCGCTTCGGAAAGATTCGAGCATGCGTTGTCTGGCAGGGGAAGATGCGTGGCTTGGGGACCTGGATGTCCGATGTCCAGACGGTGCCCGCAGGCAGACGTGCGGCAGCAGCATCCCCGGCCTTGAAGACGCGCGGCAGCCAGAGCGACAGCAGAGCAGCAAACAGGGTGGCAATAGCGAAGGCACTATAGGGCGCGTGTAGCAGGTCGACAGTGGGCTTTTGCCAGAGGCGGGCTGCCAGTTCGAGCAGCTGGAGGCGTGTCCGCCATGCGGCCAGCAAAGCTAATATGGCGCAGTCGGTCTTGAGCTGGCGATCATGATGGTACAGTCTCAGAGTATACAACGAGATCCAGATCGTAAGCAGAGGCCACCCTCGCCACTCGTCGGGAACAATAAGCGACAGCAGCACCAGCGGCGCGCATGCGACAAGGAAGCCGTCCAGGGCGAAAAGGCCGCCAATGGGCCTCGCAATGGACATGAAGGAGGGGGGTTTCGTTAGTAATCCAGAGGCATTCGAGGAAGCATCAAAGGGAAAAAGGCTTGTGGTTCGATAAATGCAGAATGTCAGATCAAAGGCACCGCTGGCGCTATACCCTTTTGGTGAAGTGTATATGCAGGGACAAGACTCATCGGCCAAATCTCCTCATCGGGCCCAGGGAGCAATGGCGACGCCAGAATGAAGGAAGCCAGCAGTATATACTGTGGCTGTATGGCGACAGGCACAGCACAAAGCCTCGTGTGCGTGTGCCCGTGGCATTTGCCACTACCATGGCCCGCCGCGTAGTGCACAGAGGCGTCGAGGTAGTATGGCTTCTGGGCCACGGCGGCGCATCTGCCGGTCCGCTGCAACATCGGCGGCGGCGAGTGACGTTGCGTCATCGGAGTTAAGGGCCAGCCCGCCTTGCTTAGTCTTGCATCGCCACGCTTCCTGAGTGTGAGCACCGCAAGCCTCGTGTCGTCCGTGTCTCTCCTCCTCGCACTCGTCCTCTTTTGCCCCTGCATCTCCATATTCCGACCAGCGGAAGAAGCAACTTCTGTCCACGTTTCACAGCGTTGCCAAGCGCTGGATCCCCCGCCTCTTGGGGTGACATCGCAAGGGCGAGAAACGAAAGGAATAGACAAGGCAGTCCGCTAGCTCTACTCTACCTGCGCCTCGCCCTACTGGCTGACTCGAGTGCGCTTGCAGTGCGGCAAACTCTGATCAGTAAACATGATTTGGAAGCGTGTAGACGGGGGAGGGCAAGAAATCCCATTAGCGCCCCGATGCAACATCGACGAAGAAACTAGGCGTGGGCAATTAGCATTCTTTTCACATGCGATTCATGGAATAGGGCCTCCTCGTCTCTGCCCAAGCAGACTAGCAGTCAGCGTTTGTTTTGGGACCATTGGCCCGGGATTACCGGAGACGCTGTAGTTGCAAAAAGTAAAGGGCCTTGTGCTGAAGAAAAGCAGTACCAGCCACCTCATTTGCTCTTGTGGAGGCGACAGTGATGATCGCAGTCTTGGGCCGGGAAAAAGCATCTTCTTTTTACACCGGAAAGACCAAAAGCAATGCGTCTGTTGCGGCTCTGCAGGTCGCGTAGTGCTAGTCTCTGCCACACACTACCCTCCAACTAGTAAGCCCAATGCGCGAGACTGTCACCAGTCAGCCTGTGTGCCTTGGCAGTGACCATCTTTGCTCGATAAAAGCATTTTCCATCCTACATTATTAATGTCATTAGCAAAACTGTAAATGCCATCCTAGCCACGCATGACAGGAGTAGTGGTAGTGCCGAGACCCTGTTTTCCAGAAGACGCCACTAGTCTCCATTCTTATATCTTACCGGACCTGACTATGTGGGGAGCTAGGGCCTTGGGTACTCTTCACGATTCTCATTGTGGCAGGAGTACTGCATCACGTGTAGAAAGCGTAGGAATCCAGTGGCATGTTGTATTTGAGGACTGAGCTTGGCCCAAGCCACCAGTTTGGGTCAAGACTACATAGTTGGAGCAAGTCTCTCTTGATCAGATGGCGAGGAATCAAAGCCGCAGCCTTCTTTCATCGAGAGATGGCTCCCTCAGGTGAACTTGATAGCTTTCCTAGATTTGGTGGCTATTCCGCCAATACCGAATGCTGTTTCTGTACGCGGTGCTATCTCGCGACGACTATTCTTACCACCGAGCTGACACGGCAATGTTGCCAAGTCGAGCATGTCAATAAGAGTATAGTTTGTTTTGTGGAACAAAACCGTTGATAGCCTCAGAAGCAGGGGAGAAAGATGTAAGCAATGGACCCGCCTTAGCACATCATGCAGCACCAATTGCGGCCGATGCCGGTGACTAGAGCCGCGGGTGGCTGGAGATTACCAAAGAAGCACGACTAACATGTCTGTGAGACATCGGGCAACATACCGATCAGCTAGTATACCTAGGGCAGCTGATCTCATGTAAGAACCGATTACATCCGTAGTGAAACGGCGTTGGCGGTCAGCACACACGAGACCGAAGAGAATGCTCATCCAATGAGTTTGTCCTAGAATGAAAAGATTAGCTGATGTGCGTTACCCGGATCCGTGCATCCCAGTGATCTTTGTAGGTTAGCAACTTCACTGTCAAAGCCTATCACAGCTTGATCACGTCTGGTACTCGTGGGCCCGGTCTCCCCTACGTTGAATGTCAATGCAAGAGGATCGAATCGTCAGAGCCCAGCGAAGTGGTTCGTTCGCATACCGAAACAGAAGTTGCGAATGCGTATTCTTGTCCATGTGTCTCCCTCATGAGACTGCAGGTCACCGATGGCATAGGGTATGACGACGGCGTCGCTGGTGAAACGACTATATAATTTGATCATGGCATATTATATCAATGCCGTCGCCCCCGGTATCATGGAGAGTGCGTTAATAAAAGTGCCGCTGCTTATCGTCATTAGTGTTTCCCTGATTCCGTCTGCTGATCACGTTGATCTTCCAATCATTGTACAGCAAAGTGCTTTTTCTCCATTGGCAGCCTCGTCCCATGTCCCCCTCTTGGATGATGCAGCGTATTTTGACACCTGCCCTGGACAGATGTGGCTTAGATTCGGCGGCGAGGGCATGCCTTGGTCGGATGTGTCCCCGAGATGCGCTCGTGGGCTCCGAACCTGTATCGAAACACGAGCACAGACGGTAACGGTCTGTGTCGACGAGCATTCACTGTGCGTTGCGTGCCGTCAGATGCAATTACCCGCGCCTAGTCGAGCGTTGGTGTTTGTAGTGGAGGCCAGGCAGCGCATGACGGCCAGCTGGGCAGCAAAGGGCGTTGCGGGTGGGGGTCCTTGGGCTTTGCATAAACGGATAGAAATTTGGGTGTCCACGCGACTGGCGTAATTTTCTGGAAGCCCTGGCCGGATGACATAGGGATACGATGTCGGGCTCGCGATCATGAGCATCATTGACGCATGGCGGGTAGGCGCCCCAGGCCCGTGGTGAGTGACGGCAGCCGAGTGACGACATGGCGAGGTGAAGGCGGGGGTGCCATGGGCGACATGGGCGACATGGGCGCGTAGCAGTGAAAGTATGTCGCGAGGCGTGACAGGCGGGTGCATCAGCCCTAAGCAGGCGTCGTCAGCCGGCTGAGGAGACGGTAGAGGGCTGAGGCTCAAGCTTTGATCGAGGGCCAACGACAGCCCAGGCGCATACCGAGCAGGACAGGGTGGGTGGGTGAGTGGTTGGGCCGTGAGGGGCACGCTATCAAGGTAGCGTGAACAGGCAGATGAGCTAGGGGAAACGTGCCTGGGGGGGGGGGGGTCCTCAAACGCTCATGCTCAGGGTCTGCGCCTACGTCAGCCCCACGTGACCATCACCAGCGCGCAAGCACGAGCAAGCATGCAGAGCAACATTGCATTGCACATGTGCGGTTTGCGCTGCGCACTTTCTCCCAGTCTGCAACACGCCTGCCGAGCACGAGCGACGCGCGAAAAAAAAAGACGCCATATCGCTGCTGCGTGGACCGCCGTCGCCCTGACGCCTGCAGCCGCCGTCTAGTCCCTTTGTTGAGGAAGAGCCAAGGGTGCATCCCACTCGGCCAGTTTCTTGGAAAGCGAAGATAACCACCGCGTGACGACACGGAGGGCAGGATTCCCACTTCATAGGCCCGATTCGCAGCAACTTTGTATACGGTTCGCAGCTCGCATCCTCAGCCGCTGCTCTCCCCACCACCACCGCCAGGCCCGCCTACAAGATGAACGCGACCGAAGCAGCAGCAGCGCCAGCCGCGCAGCCGCGCAACCCGTGCAACCCGCCCACGTCCGCCGCGAGCGTCTCGCGCGAGGCCAAGTCGACCGACAGCAACAGCAGCAGCAGCATCCTGGGCAAGGGGAAGAAGTTGTTCGGGCTGGGAAAGAAGAAGGGCGACGAGAGCGAGCAAAAGGGGGCGAGTGCGACATTGACGACTTGGACGACGCTGCTCCCCTCGCCTCCCATGTCACCACCTGAGCGGCGCGCATCACCACGCGGCAGCCCACGCATGCTGCCCGTGGGCGCATCGCCTGGCCGGCGCATCCGCTCTACGTCGCCAGGACTGCACAGCCCGGCGTCGTCGCTCATCTTTGAGCGCAACGTGCAGGAGCCCGAGCCGTCGGTCGACGTGCCGGCACACATCAAGACAGAGGACTTTATCCCCCCGGCGCTGGATGCGACGTCGCTGGCCATTACCGACAGCCAGCTCAACCCCGACGAGGTGGAGATTGTCACACACTCGGCACACCAGCCCGCCGCGCTCGTCGTGGCCGGCAGCATGGCCGAGTCGCTGCACTCGCCGCCACTGCCACCCGACGAGTCTGCAGCGTCGAGCCACTTTGAGGCGGCGGCAGACGCAACGGCGCCCGGCTACGGGGCGCTCGACACGACGGACCCGCGGCGCCTCAGCTTCATTTCGTTTGCGGACGTGGTACAGGCCGAGCACGTGGAACACGACCGGCAGGAGGTGCTGGGGGCCACGTCGAGCGAGGCGCTGCAGTACATGAGCCTGTCGTCGACGGCCAACCGGACGGCGTCGCCCGTGAGGTCGATTGCGTCTTCGCCGCCGACGACGAGCGGCGCAGCGTCTCCCAAGGCGATGGATCTGGCACGCACGCGATCCCCCGGCAGCCCCACGTCGCCCATTGTGCTGGGCAACCCCAACGCGGCACTGGGCGAGGAGCTCCCGGTGCAGATTGAAACGATGCGACAGGCTCTGCGCAAGACGCGGTCGGGCGACCTGGGAGGCATAGCGTCGCAGCCTGTGAGTGCGGTGAGTCTGGAGGAGAATGCGGCCGACAAGCCTCCGTTCAAGTAGGGGCATGTGTGATGGATGCATGTCAGAATGCGCATGGGGGGAAATGAGATGGTGAGAGTGAGAGCGAGCGAGCGAGATTCCTTTTTCATTTCTTTGTTACTACACGAGGCTTGGAGCTTATTGGTTGGCTGGGTTGATATCCATATGGCGATGATTTCACGGACAGGACAGGACTGGGGGGTGAAGGGGGGCTTCTATTCTACTGTCCTGGGGGACGGGCTATGATTTGCAGCGACGGGGAGCGACTGTTTGGCAGCAATTGTACGTCTTGTGTTTGTGTGCATGTGTCTCTTGGTGTGTGCAGGTGTGTTTGTCGTGATGACGGGTAAAGTGGGCGCCGGGCGGGCTGCAGGCGACGAGGGATGGGCGTGGGCGTGGGCGTGGGCGTGGGCGTGGGCGTGGGCGGGGCAAGGGGGCAGGCGAGACTTGGCTTGGGTGGGTTGGCGGTGCTGGTGCTGGTGCTGGTGCTGGTGCTAGTCTGGCAGCGGTGGTTGGGGGGAGGGGGGGCGAGAGCGAGAGCGAGCGAGGGTTGTTTGGGGAGGTGCAGCTGCAGATAGATGAGCAATCAGGCACAGGCACGCCGGGCATCCAAGCGCATCGGCGGTGCGGGAGCAAGCAGACGAGGAGATGGCCATGCTCACCACGACCACGGGGACGACCATCATCACCCTTGCCATCGCCATCGCCCGCGCCCGCGCCATCGCCCTCGCCGTCACGACGGGGCATCCACGGGCACGCACGCACGCGCACCGCAGCGTCAGCACCACGCAGCAGCACAGCACAGCACAGCACAGCACAGCACAGCACAGCGCAGCGCACCGCCGCACTGCAGCGCACCGCCGCGCAGGCATCCAGGGCGCGCGTGTGTACTGTAGACAGCAAGTACTGGCTTGGGTACAGTAGATACAGGGAGGCGCCAGTGCGAGCGCCAGTGCCAGTGCCAGTGCCAGTGCCAGTGCCAGTGCCAGTGCCAGTGCCAGTGCCAGCGCCAGCGCAGGCTGGGTGTGGGCCTCGCAAGTGCAAGCTCACCTGGGCGGGCCGCAACTAAGTAATACCACTACCAACTCCGGCCACGGGCGACGGGCTGCTGCGACGGGCTACTGCTGCCGCTACTGCTGCCACCACCACTCCATACTCGCTCGCTCGCTCGCTCCATTCGTCCCGTGTCCCTCTGGCCCTCGCTGCACCCGCCCTGCACCGCTCCGCTCCCCCATCTCGACGACTCCCACCACGGCCTGCGATGCGCCACGCCCTGCTGTCGCCGCCGCCGCCGCTGCTGCCCATCCTCGCCGCCGCCGCCGCCGCCGCCGCCCCCAAGCCCCAAGCCCTCGCCGCCGCCCTGCCTGCGCCCCGGCTGCCGCCTCCGCCTCCGCCTGTCGTGTGTCAATGACCAGCACCAGGCACAGCGCCGGTCCGCACCCATGGACCAGCAGCGACGCAGCAGGAGGGAGGTGAGTGCCACCGAGGCCGCCCAGAGCGCCTTTGGCCACGAGAGACCCCGCGACGACCGCAAAACAACCACGATCCGCTCCGTCACCCCCGACGAGCCCCCGACGATACCTGAAGACGCCATCCCCAGCCAGAACTTCTCCCCGCCCAACAGCCCCCCCGCCCACTCCACCACGCTGCTCTCGTCGCGCACCGGCAACCCCCGAGCCTTTGTCGCCCGCGCCTCGAGCGACTCCGACTACAGAAATGCCCGCGAGCCCGCCCGCCCGCGCACCAGGACGCTGGAGGAGCGGAGCACCCGCGACCGTTCCCCCTCGGCCGTCTTTGGCTCCTCGCGCCATCGCATTGGCTCCGTTGCCAGCTCCCAGCAAAACTACCAGAGCCTCGAGGAGTCGGTCGTCACCTCAATCGGCCACATCTCCACCATCTCGCCCTCGTCTGCCCACCTGCCGCCGCCGCGCACCTCGAGCACAAACGCCCGCGGCCGCCTCTTGAAGCAGCACCAGCAACAGCAACAACAACAACAACAACAGCAGCAGCAGCAGCAGCAGCAGCAGCAGCAACAGCCACAGCACAACCATCAACAAGCACATCAACACCAATACAACCAACATCAGCAAACACACCACCACCACCACCACCAAAATCAACAGCAAACTCACCAGCATCATCAGACCTACTCAGCCTCGCCCGTCGGCTCGCCCACCAACCTGCCGCCCGAGTCGTGGCTCTCGCCCGTGCCCGCCTCGGATGCGAAGAAGCTAAAGGCCCTCATGCGCTCCACGTGCGGAAAGATGCAGGGTCTGCTCGCTTTCCGCAGGGGCGAGCAGAATCCCTGGGCTCTTTCCTACTGCTACATCAACGACGAGGCCGGCAGCCTGGTCTACGAGCCCAAAAACGACACGTCGTATACCCGCACCCTCATACCCGATCTGCGCGGCTGCCACGTCAAAAGCGCATATGATGGCGAGGCATACACGGCCTACATACACGTCGTCGTACACAACTCCAAGCTCGAGGTGCACCTGCGCCCGCCCACCCAGGACGAGTTTGATTCGTGGTTTGCCGCGCTACTGTGCTGGTCGCCCATGCGCCCCAAAGGCATCCAGAACCGAATGGCAAAACCACAGACGCCCGTCATGATTGAGCGCCGCCTGACCGACAGCAGGCGCCATTCGGAGGTGTCTCTGCTCAAGGACTCGCCCAAGAAGGAAGCGCCCATCATCAAGGTCGGCAAGATGATCTACTGGGATACGAGCGTGACATACAGCAACATGGGCACCCCCAAAAATTCCGGCTCTGGCGGACGACCGCAAACCCACAGACTGCTGAGCCACGGATCCCGCCGATGGCGAAGAGTGTCGTGCACACTGCGCGAGAACGGAGAGCTCAAGCTCTACTCTGACACCGACGTCACCCTCGTAACCACGATCCAGCTTTCCCATCTTTCGCGCTGCGCCGTCCAGCGATTGGATTCTTCCGTCTTGGATAACGAGTTTTGCATTGCCATTTATCCCCAGTACACGGCTGCATCCTCATCTTCACTAGCAGTTCCACGCCCCATATTCCTATCCCTTGAGTCGCGCGTATTGTACGAAGTCTGGATAGTCTTGTTGCGCGCATTTACCGTTCCGCAGTTGTACGGGCCAAAATCCGACGCCATTAGCGAAGACGGCACGCTGTCGCCCACTTTCGGGACCCAGGACATGTTTCGCATGGAGAAATCGCTATTCGTGCGAGTTATCGAAGCGAAGCTGATACCGCCTGTGAGCCCAAAGGTTGCTGACAGCAATGGAACCAACCCCATACGGCCATCATCATCGGCTACGGCGAACCCTGGTGGCTATCTTGTGGAATTGCTGCTGGACGGAGAGACGCGCGCACGAACCATGGCCAAGTCTGAAGGCAACAATCCTTTCTGGAGAGAAGAGTTTGAATTTTTAGATCTACCCGCATTGCACACGGCCTCGCTATTGTTGAAGAAACGACCACCAAGCTACTCGCGTAACGACAAGAACATTTTCGATGTACCTCTCAGCTCCGATGCCTCTGCCCCCGAAGGTGGTTACGCCGGCATCTCTTTTGACCAGACCCTAGGCAAGACGGACATTTACCTTGACGACCTCGGCCCAAATCAAGAGATGGAAAAGTGGTGGCCGCTTGTCAGCGGGCATGGCAACACGATTGGTGAGATACTCGTCAAGATCAGCAGCGAGGAGTGTGCCATCCTCATGGCTCGCGACTACTATCCTCTGTCCGAGCTTCTCCACCGATTCTCTAATGGAATAACACTGCAGGTCGCCCAAATGATTCCCAACGAGCTCAGGAGACTGTCAGAGTATCTGTTGAACATCTTTCAGGTCTCCGGCGCAGCGGTCGAGTGGATATGTGCACTTGTCGAAGAAGAGATTGATGGCACCCTCAAAGAATCCCCAGCCAGTCGTTTGCGCTTCAGCAAGAGGCTGGGATCGAGCGAGTCGAACGAATCGCCAATCAATCCCTTTGGATCAGCAAGTGACCGAGAGCTCTTTGTGCGCGATATGGGCAACAACGCCAAGCTAGAAGCCAACCTTCTCTTCCGTGGCAACACGCTCCTGACAAAGTCGTTGGATCTGCACATGAAGCGCCTCGGCAAAGAATACCTCGAGGAGACGCTAAGTGAGAAGCTAAAGGAAATCAACGACAAGGACCCAGAATGCGAAGTGGATCCAAACAAGGTCACGTCGCAGAGCGAGCTGGATCGAAATTGGCGCAGGTTGATCAATTTCACCGAAGAAGTTTGGCGGGCCATTTACAATTCGGTCCAGCGGTGTCCGCAGGAGCTCAGACTGATCTTCAGACACATCCGAGCTTGTGCTGACGACCGCTATGGAGACTATCTGCGAACGGTGCAGTATAGCAGTGTGTCTGGTTTCCTGTTTCTGCGCTTCTTCGTTCCAGCTGTACTTAACCCGAAGCTCTTTGGCTTACTCAAAGGTAAGGCAAACATGCAAGTGCATCATGCCATTAGTCACTAACAGCAAGATGCAGATCATCCAAAGACAAAGGCTCGGAGGACGTTTACTCTCATTGCCAAGTCCTTGCAAGGTCTGGCAAACATGTCTTCTTTCGGAACCAAGGAGGCATGGATGGAGCCCATGAATGCCTTTCTCACGTCACATCGTCAGGAGTTCAAAAAGTATCTGGATGATATTTGCTCAATTTCGACAACATCACAACCCGCACCACCAATTCCACCATCGTACAGCACTCCGATTGCCATTCTTCACCGACTACCGCCCACGTTCAAGGAAGGATTCCCGTCTCTGCCATATCTCATTGACCACTCGCGCAACTTTGCAATGCTGGTCAACCTGTGGCTAGAAAACACTCAAAAGAGCGCGCATGACATCCAAGCAACGGACGGCGATCTCCTGCGCTTCCACAACATTTGCTTGTCCCTCAGCGAACGCACCAAGGACTGCCTGAACCGCGCAGAGCCGGCTGAACGACCGTCATCGTCGCTAAGTGTCAAGTGGGAAGAGATGGTCGAGCAGTTGCAGGGCGTTCAAATCGATACCTCACGAGGTGCGGCAACAAGAAACCGGGGCCCGATACCGGAAGAGGAAATGGAGGACACGCCCATATCTCCAGGCCACGCCGAAGAATACTCGTCTTCATCAACAAGCACACCAATTACAATGCAGGCACCACAACGAGCACGACATCAACAAAACACAAGCATCTCAGCATCACAAAGTTCCGTGAAGAGCACCAACTCAAATACAATCTCTTATACCAACCCCTTTGCCAAGAAGCAATGGTCAGGCCAGTATGCACCATCCCCGCATGATTCTGTGGGCGCTTCACAGTCACCGTCGGCATCAGCGAGCGCGTCAGTTTCTGCAGCCGAAGACACGCCCCCTGGATCAAGCGATGGCCTTCACATGGCGCCCGCACCATCATATCCACAGGCACTTACGACAACTATGACGACCACCATCTCAACCTCCACCTCTACACAGTCTTTCAACTACACCAACCCCAACTCTCACATCAACTCTGAGAGATCTCCTATGGTATCACACAACTCTGTTCCTGGTCGGCCGCCTCGTTCTGCTGGTGGACAGAGTGTTGAAGGCAGTGACAATGGTAGTATTGTCGAAGAAGAGTACACGACTGCATTACCCGTCTTTTCAGAAAAGACCATCAAGGAGAAGAAAGAGCGTGGTTTCCGAGGTGTCCTCCCCTTCCAGCGCAAAAGCAAGCGCAAAGACAAGGATAAAGATAAGGATAAGGATAAGGACAAGGACAAGGACAAGGAAAGCCGCAAAGACAAGGGCAAAGACAAAGACCGAGACCGAGACCGGGACAAGGACAAGGATCGAGACAAGGATCGAGACAAGGATCGCAGCCAGGACCGCAGCCCTGAGCGGAGTTTCGGCGGTGGGGAACCTGGCATCTTAACGTCTGGCTTCAGAGGAAAGAGCAGCGCTCGGGGCGAAGACCGAGAGCGCGGAGAGCGTGACGAAGAGTTTTGACTACATGGTTGGTTCAACGGCGAGACTCCAAAGACGATGGTCAGGCGAGAAATCAGAAGACGCAAGAGCGCGGGAGAACTACTGGACAAGAGCGATCCTAGTTGAGAGCCTTGAATTGCTTCTCCTTTTTCCATCGCTCATGCCTCTCTCATCTTCTTCTCTCTTTCATCTTCCTCGCCGTTCTCCACACACGTTGTGGTCTCATGGATGACTTTCTTCTTGTTCGTGTTATTCTGATTCTTGTTCTAGTCCTTTTTCTTTTCTTTTACTAGGGGATGCGGGACACTTACTTGTTCATACAATAGAGGAGGGGGCTTGAATGAGGTTGGTTGGTTGGTTGGTTTTTATGCATAAGCGCGGCGAGAGAGAGAAAGAGTGTGTTTGTGACTAAGCAGCAGAGCGAGCGAGAGAGAAGGACACACACACATACTCATGACGACGACCAAGTCAATGAAGAAGAAAGAAGAAGAGAAGAAGAAGAAGAGAAGAAAGAAGAGCTCATGATAGCTTGCTTGGCTTGGCTTGGCTTGGCTTTTTCTTTTCTTTCCGAGGGGTCGTGTATCCAGTAGGTGGAAATCTGTCCACTATACCACTTATCATCATCATCAACATCAACATCATCATCATCATCTTTAAATTCATTCTTCCCCTTTTCCTTTTTTTTCTTCTTTTCCTTTTCCATTTCCTCGCTCTCTCTCTTTGTCTCTCACTCTCTGTTTCTCTCTCTTTGTCGACTTCTCGAATACTTGAGGAGGGAAAAAAAGAGGCGTATCTCAAGTGTCCTGCTCTCTCTCTCTCTCTTTCTCTGCATCTCTCTCTTCAATCCAACCGAAGAGGACACAGAACAGAAGACAGGAGAGAAAGAAGGCGAGGAGACCGTATCTTTTTATTTTTTGTTTTCATCTATTTCCAATTTCCAATTTCCGATTTCATCTCCATCTCTATACCATTTCTATTTCCAATTTCCATTTCCATCTTAACCTTTTCATTCTCCCAGTATCTTACCTTGTTTCCAGTTGGTCTGTCTTTTTTTCTCTTTTTCTCTTTCTTTTTTTTTATGTTATAGAGGGGGGATTTCAACAGAGGAATAAAGACGACAACGCTGGCCGCTGTTCATCTAGCCTATGATGTCCCCTCTCTTTCCTTTTCCTTTTCCTTTTCCTTTTTTTTTCTTCTTTTCCGTCTTTTGCTTCTCTGGCTTTTCTGTCCTTTGCTATGTTTTTTTTTCTTTACAGTCTTCTTTTTTTTCGTCTTTTTACTGGTGGAGGAAGAGGAGGAAGAATGAGGAAGAACATATAGAGGAGGATGAGGAGGAGGATGAGGAGGAGAATGTAGGAAGAAGAAGAAGAAGAAGAAGAAGAAGAAAAGCAAGAGGAAGAAAGAAAAAAAAAGAGAAAGAGAAGATAACCCGGTCTTTCTCTCTCCAGAATTGTCTTGTGCATTTTACCGTGTTTCTTTTTTTTATTCATCCTCGCTATCACTGTTATTGTTACCGTTATTTCTTACTTTTGCTTACATGCGCGTTTGTTTCTATCCCCCCCTCCCCTGTTTTCTGTCTTTCTTCCCAGTATCCTTCCTACTGTTACCATCATCACTTCTTCCAGGTTTTTTTGGTTGCTTTTTGCGCTGTCTTTCGCTTCATCTTCTTGATCTTCTTACTTGTACCTCTATCTTGTCTGCGTGGCAGCAAAACCGAATATCCATCTTACTTATCTTCTGTCTCGTTTGCTTTTGTAGGGTGGAGGTTTCGATTTGTTTGTTTGTTTGTTTGTTTGTTTGTTTGTTTGTTTGTTTGTTTGCATCGGTGGGTTCTCTTTTTTGAAAGGATTCAGATTGTAGGAGAGGGGAAGGGTATGGATCGGTGAGTCGGGTACAGGGTTGGAAAGAGGTGCCTAGGTTGGTTGGTTTGTGGGTAGGAGGGCCACAAGGAATGGATTGATGGGATGATGGATTAGAAGCGAGCAATATATGGAGGGCTGGATGGATAGGGGGGAGAATGACAAGAAGTGAGGGAAGGAAGAGAGGCGAATCACCTGTTTTCGTGCATATGTGTAGCGATAGAGTTATGTAGGCAATTCACAAGATGACTGTTAACAAACACATTCATGTCATATTCAGTGCTTGTCATGTACCAACTTGAACACATGGGTGAAGAAAACAATTTCGAGTACTGATTACATACTTTTCTAACTTCATTCATCGTAAGATTAGGAGTACTGTATGCTAGGCCGTTGTAACCGATCCCAATGCTTCAACTCCACCATGTACCTCCAAAGAGAAATAGCCGGTAGCCAGATATGGGCCAAAATGCCTACTCAAAGTTGAAAGCATTCTTGTACACCTGCTTCTCCTTCTCCTTTCGCGCCTGCACCTTCTTCTTGATCGCATCCTGTTCCTTGATGATTGCCGCATCACCTGGCGCATACTTTGCCGCCTCCTTAAGATCAGCCAACGCTTCTTCCTCGTTCTTCTTCGCAATCTTGGCCTGTGCGCGCCTAAAGTACGCCTTGGCCTTTTCCTTTTCCGTGATGCCCTCAATCTCCAGTGCTTTGGTTGCGTTCTCTATCGCGTCGCTGTACTGATGTGTCTTGTTCTGAAGCAGGGCGCTGTTGGAGTAGAGCGAGATCTTGAGGGCGTTGAGCTGGGGCCACAGGTCCTTGGGGTCATTTTCTAGTGGTGTAGGGTATTCGTGCAAGTAGCGGATGCCTTTTTGGTATTTCTGGATGCCAAGCTCGAGATTTCCCTTTTTGAATGCGTCGTTGCCCATTTCCTTCAGCTTGGTCGCGATTTCGAGGATCTCGGTACCTTTCCATTCCTCACCGCCAGCCTTTTGGTCCTCTGGGAAGTCTTCGTATGGGTCGCCAGTTGCATCAGAGACCTTCTCGGTGGCCTTGTCATAATCTTCCCCGGTGAGCTCGCCACAGTCGATAATGGTTGCATCTTGCAGTGGCTTGTCACCGCTTTCTGTCTTGAGGTTCTCGATTGTACGCACAATGCTCTTGCCGTTGATGACCTCGCCAAATACGACGTGCTTGTTGTCAAGATGTGGTGTAGGGACTGTAGTCACGAAGAACTGAGAGCCGTTCGTTCCTGGGCCGGCGTTGGCCATACTCAGCAGGAACGGCCTGTCGTGGATCTTCTCAAAGTTTTCGTCCTCAAACTTCTCGCCATATATACTCTCGCCGCCAGTACCGTTGCCCTGGGTAAAGTCACCGCCCTGGATCATGAAACCCTTGATGACGCGGTGGAAGCTCGAGTTCTTGTAGTGGAGGGGTTTGCCAGATGCACCTTCTCCTTTCTCGCCGGTACATAGCGCGCGGAAGTTCTCGGCGGTCTTGGGAACGATATCACTGTACTAACTTGGCTGTTAGTCAAGAACCAGCAATGTGGTATAGAATCACGTCGGTGAAGTAAGACGTACAAGCTCAAAGGCAACACGACCGGCCTTTGCACCGCCAATGGCAATATCAAAGAAGACGCGTGGGCGCTCTGGTCAGTATTAGCATTCGTGTTTCGTAGACGTCAGAGTCGGTGCTTGGGAAGGCTTACTAGAGTCAGCCATGATCGCGCAAGTACAGTTGCGTTGATGTATTAAAAAGTGGAAGCTGGGCAGTGAACTGGGTATATCCGGAAGTGTGGAATGAGGAGAGTGTCTTGGTATTGGTTCAGGCGTTGCGATGCTGAAGAAAAGCAGGCCAAAACCGTCCAGAACTTTCTACGAAGCTACGACCTTGACCTTCACGCCGCGCCAAGCCCGCCTCTCTAACACTTGTACGACACTAGGAAAGGCCGAATGCTTCCAGTTCAGTCCCCTTTTGGATTCTATGCATCTATATTTACTGCCAAGTGGAGCATGAGGACACCGCTATCCCGGCAATGTGGTTGTTTGGAAACTGCATGGGTTTTGTAAACATTGACATGATGCTGGTGAAGAGGGGCAACGCGGGGCAACGACCAGCGCCCGGGCCCCATGTACTCCGTCACTGCCGCCGCAACGCTATGTCCTGGTCGCAAAATTTTTATATGTAAAGCATGGTGTGATATGAGTTATCGAATGCTGGCTACTTGACAAACTTGCTCTCAGGCCCTCTCTCGCTCATGCATCTTTTTGCCATACTAAAATCCGAGCAAACCCTAACAATACCCCCTCCCTACTAGGTATCCATGTGAGTAAGAATGAGACTCTTTTTCTAAAACTTCAAATTCCAAAACAACCATGTCCATCCGCGTCATTACCGCCTGGCGGACATGGAGAACGGGATCGCTGTCGACACCAGCCCGTTCTGGTCGTAATGGTACGTGAAGCCGCCCTGCAACGTCCGTCTGAGCGCGTTGAGCCTCTGTAATTTCCACCACTTATCAATCCTGACTTCAACACTCCTGTTGATTTTGACTTTCATCCTGCCTGCCCCATACGCCCTACCAGTCTCCTCGTGCAGCGCCATCGAGTACGCAGGGCCGCGGCTGGGCTTCTCAACAGAGTTGCGAATGTCTGCAAACGAAGAGTGCAGGGCTTTGCGGTCCTTCTTGGATATGCGGCGGGTCGAGACGTTGGCGAGTTCGTCGAGGGTATGCAGAAGCTGGTCCTGCCTTCGGTAGACTGTGTATCGCTTCACCAGTTTTTGCCCATCGCGCACATACTCCGGATCGTCGGAATCAGCATCATCTTCCACATCTTCGTCCTCCTCTTGTGGAGTGAGTGACTTCTCGTACAAGAGCGCAATATTCTCGCCTGCTGCAATTTGCACACCCGAGTCTGCGCTGTCGAGTTGCTCAACAAAGGCCTCCATGGCGGCCTCGGTCTCCTCTTCCAGATCCTCAATCTCGGTAGCCAACAGGCCCCATTCCTCTAGTGCAGCAATCACAATATTGCCTGCGTCTTGAGCGTCGATCGAAGCGCCGTCTGACTCGACAATCTCAAGGAAAAGATTCATAATATCCAATATCTCATCGTCGCCTGCACCAGCAAAAAAGGCAGTGGTACCGAGAGTATGAGTGGCGCTGACTTTGACGGGGATCGACGACGAAGACTGTATGGTGCGCTTGAGCTGGTCGGCGACACCGTCGTAGAGGGTGTCGGAATCGACGGTAACAGCAGTGACTGCAAGTGCTAATGGTTGTGAGCCATGCATGGTGACTTTTGAGCGCTGCACATACCTTTCAAGGCCTTGACAACCTCATTTTCTGTCGTCTCTTGCCTAATGCTCCTAATCATGGAAGACACAAGTTCGTTGATGTGGCCCTCGACTTCGTTCTTTGCGTAGCGGGCCATGAGGATATGTGCGTATGCATTCAAGCTTTCGGCGCGCCCCTCAGTGCTGCTGCGCTTGAGGTTGATAATCTGCTCGATGCGCGTGTTGAGCTCCGTCTTCCACGCATCTTCGGAGATGTTCACATCTTCGCCGTTGAGGATATCGTCAATGGAGGCGGTGCTGTTTGGGCGGCGTGTCAGCATTCATCGGCTGATATTGTGTAGAGCCGATGATGTCACCGATCACCGTCTACGGTGGCGAGGCAAACAAAAAAGTTGGGTGCGGCACTGGAAACTCACCTCCATGCGGTGCCGTCGCTCAGCTCGTCTTCATCGTCAGTGTCATGTCGACTGCGACTGGCTGCGCGCGACTGGGCTGGCGATGCGACAGCTGAGTTGGTTTTTGAGGCTGTGGTGGATGCGACGCGCGAGCGGGCCTTGCGCGAGATGGTCTTGTGGCTCTCGAGAGCCTGTTTGCGGAGATCGCGCATTGTGCAGCGCGAAGCCTGAGGCTGCTGGGTGAGTTTTCGCAAAGGTGTCGCCACTGTGGCCTTGATTAGGTTGTAGTTGGGAGTTGGCGGTTCGTAAGCGGTCCGTACCCCGACGCAGATTGCGGGGGAACCAGAGCAACCAGGCAGTTATTGTAAGGGTAAGGAGTCTGTGAATTCAGTCGTGGAAGGATATGTGTGCGGTTTGAAAGACATGGGTATGAATCAGGGCCGAAGGCAAAATGTCCAGGCAGAAGCAGGTGTGAAGGAGGTTTGGTGGGCACAAGGCAGCCTACTGGTGTCAGTCGTTCTTTCCCTACGACTTCTCCCGAGTGGGCGACTGCCAGAATGCGCTAAACGTGACCTACGTCATGTCCTTCTGCCCTTCCATTCCACAGTCCGGCACCACGTCACCTTACCAACCACTCCTCCCGACTGCACAACAAACTCTTCATCCATTTTCCTTCACATTTTGCTACAACCCCGGGCGTCGTCGTTGCTGCGCCAGCCCGACATGTCTCGTCTAGTGTAAGCTGAATGGCCGTGGCACTGATTGGTCGCTTGTCGTTTATCTAATGGCCAAGAAGGCAGCCAGGCATCACCCATCAAGTTCAACCTTCGAGAACAGGCGGCTGCGAGGATCTTCTGCAAGAGTTCGGCTCACACCATGTTCTCATCGGGAGCCAAGCGCTGCACCAGCGCTACTGTCAGATGACCTGAACCTTGGTGCATACTGAACCCAGGATCGAGCACGCTGCCGCAAAAGAAACCCGAGGATCAGTCATGCCCAAGCAAGCCACGTGCACTCCGCGCCCGCCGGACCACGGGAAGGACCTGGTAATTTTGACACCAGCCTCACTCTCATCTCATGACCCCCCTGGCCACCATGGACGCGCCTTAGGAGATCATCGGGGCTGAAACAGCTGCATCCAGCTCAAGACAGAAGCGTCGTCATCCGCTTGTCTGTTCGTAACGCATGCACGTTTCACACACTATTAAAGAACATAGCCATGTGAGGGTGGGAACTGCCAGTGGAATGCCTCTCAACTGATCGGGCTGACATGTACATACATATATGTTTGTTGGACCCAACCTCAGCCTCAGACCTAGGCTTCATACGGCGTGCTACGCGGTTGGGGTTTGATGCCAACACAGCACCGAGTTATCGATAAACGCGCTACGAAGCATTATTCAACGGTTGGAATTACATGCAGACAAGGAGGCTTTCCTGTTTATGATCTAGAGGGATGCTCTGCCACAAGCCGAGGGCACAATATCTGACATGCAAGGCCCACCAACTTACGCGCCCAATGCGGCAGGTGTGCATACAGGTGGACCAATCTAGAACAGATGACCCTGGCCTCTTCTTGATTGGTCTGCCTGTGCCTGGGATAGTAAAGATAGGTAAAGGCTCGTCTAATAAAGCCATGTGTTATATCTTCAAGCTGAACATCAGACGCCAATGACTCAACGGTCAACCACAAGCGCCCAAGGCCGGCCATTCTCCACTCCGACTTATCTCAGCCGCCGCTGCTGTGCGGAGAGACGAGCCAATTAAACAAGACGAAAACCGAGAAGGGCAAACGCTGTGCAAACTATCGCTTGCAGGCGAATCAACTAGGCGCCGCTTACCGCGGACCATGTCTCCTGACTCGGGTTCAGATGGAGTTATTCCCGGCCATGTTGCTAGTGAGAAACAAACCTTCTTTGGGGTCCAAGTTTCGTCTTGTAGCGCATAGTGGCCGTGGTGGCTTTGCTGGTATTGTTGATACAGCGAATGCAATTGATCTAAATGTCCGAATCCATGCTCTTGACGTTGCAATTGTGCAGTATTTCGTGACAACAATGATAAAGACAATGACATGATTAACTCACTCTTTCTGTGCAATGCCACTTCCACCTCCTGCCTCTATATTCTGCCGTAAACCGAGAAGTTGCCCTAGCGTCCAATATCGGCTTCTCTGCAGTGCTCGCATGCTGTGCTTGAACAATTCTCCAGTATATCCATCTCTTGACCCCTCAACACATCGATCGCATCCTGTAGCAAGCATCCCGCTACACATTGCCATGAACCAGCGAATCGATTCTGGCGCCCCCTCCTCCTTCCCTCCACCGCCATGCCCAAGTCAAGAATGTTCCAAAAAAGAAGAAGAAGAAAACACCTCCTATACACCCGCCGCGCCTCCCACGCCGCCCTCGGGCCAGCCAAACGGAAACGCCGAGCGCTCGCCTGGCTTCCGTCTCGGAATATCGATATGATGAAAGTTGCGCAAGTGCTCGACCAAATGGTCTCTGCGCGTGAAGCCCTTTTCGCCCACGCGGTTACACCGCGCTACGTGGCAGGGATACTCGGGCGTGCCCACGCCGTGCACCGTCGATTGGTGGCGCTGCAGGTCCGCCAGGCGCGTGAATTGTGCGGACGAAGTGCATGTGGGAATGTCGCAGGTCCATGTTCTAACGGGACACGAGTTAGATTTGGCTGGTGGTCTGACAAGAAAAGAAAAGTGGAAGGGGAGAAAGTACTTTGGACGTGTGCTGGTGCTGGTGCTGGTGCTTTTTTGGCTTCTGGAAATATGGTATATTAGACTGATTGTACTTTTATGTCATGGCGTCAGTAGAGGGAACTAAGGATACACACGCACCTTTTTTGGCCGGGAGACGCCGAGACATTGACGTCGGTGTCTTGCAGCTGCCAGCCTGTGCTTTCGTAGCCTGTTACGGGTTCTTGGTATGCAGTGTGCGGTATGCTCATCGGTTGCTGCTCAACGTAGTATTCTTGGACCATTTGCCATGGTTCTGGAGGGTAGCATTGGTATTGAGCATAATAGGCGTGGATCTGGTGTTGCGTGTATTGTGGTATACCGGGCTGGTAGGGTGGCTGGTAAGAGTAGTTGCCTTGGCCTGAAGAGGAGTACTGCGCCCATTGGTAAGCGAAACGGGAACGTCTTCCAAGGAGTTGCAGAAGGCAAAAGGTGGAGCTTACGCTGTATCCGGACATGGCGGGCGAAGGCGGTTGTTCCTGCTTTAGGCGTACTGACTTGGTCTTCTTGGAACCACTGCCTGTGGTAGTGAAGTCAATGCTATTAGTAGACGGGCGGTAGGCGGGTGCCGCAGGCGAGGTAATGATGCGTAGTTTGTGTGATTGGAGCGTTTTCCTTGTCGGGGCCGAACGCTTGCGAGGCAGCAGTTGAGCTTGCCCAGCAGATCTACAAGAGCAAGTTAGATGTGTCGGCGACGTTATTGTTTACCCTTTGTCATCTCGCAGTATATACTGGAGCCTTAAATGGGAGAGCCACCAGGATCTCATCTGTGACAACTACGCACTACTGCCACAGCGGGGGCTTATACCTTGCGCCTGAGGTACGCATCACTTACAGATATTTTGGAGATCTTGGACCCTCCAAACGCCCGAAATTATCTCTATGCGAACCGTGATGAGCCAACATGTTGATGACAAAGTGAAAGTAGAAGCAGCGCCGCCCAGGCCAAGATTGGTTCTGGTTGCAGGATCTAGTGGGCAGTGACAGGGCTTGACGAGGCGAGATGGTTTCTTTCGTAAGCTTGCCCGCCCCCGTGCTGTGATTCTGTGTCGAAGCTACGCCAGAGAGTAAGGTTGTGAATATAGAAGCCTAAGATTGCTGGGGTCGATTCATGGGAGAACGAGGCGAAGCCAATGACCCAACGCTGTGGTACCCGAAACGTGTCTTGGTATAGGGCTGACTACGGGTTCGTGCCTATGCAAAACTCGGCAATACTGAAGAATAGGGGAATCGGGTACACAGCTGAGTCAAAGCTGCCAGGTTCTTTTTCTATTATGAAAATAGAGAAGCGGTGAAATGGCTTGCTGGAGGAAGCGTAGCAACATGTAGTGGCGGAGGAGCGAGGACCGTTGATAGATCTGCCGTCAACCGCTCCTCCCGTCTTATGGGCTGCATGGCCACTAGGCTTCATCCACCTTGACTGTATCGAGTCTCATTTGCTCGGGAATGGCTGAGCTAGGCAGAAAGCCAGAATAGGCCAATACAGATAATATTCATACTTGGGTGTCTGGGTTCAGTATAGATTGATGAGCCGGACTGGCCGATGCAAAGGATGAGGGTCGGACTATCGTGTGACTATGAGTGCATGCATACCTCTTGCTCGCCTATTTTCGCTATACAGCGTAAAGACAGATCCTTGTTGAGCTGCAGGATCCGGGTTGCGGTCTCGAGATCGACGCATTGTTTGGCGTAGACAAGTCAGTATTCTTGGACATGTTTACACAATCAAGGCGGACGCCGAGTCTGCGTCAGGCCTACGACTGATCTGTCAACGGAGTTGGTCAGAGAACTCCTATCCAGCGCGGTTAGGCGGCCAACGCCATCCGGATTGGGGATTGAACGGCATTCCAGGAGTAACTGTGCTGGCTGCCCGACTTGGGTGGGTCAGCCGTCATGAAACCTCGGCTCGCACTCTTTTTCCCTCTGTCTATATATGCTGCTGAGTATGCTTCACCCAAGTCGTCCGCCAGTGAAGAACCGCCAACGCCGCAAAAGGCCGGAAATGATTTGATGCTGCAGCCGCTCGAGGCAGCGGCGTGCAGGAGCTAGAGCGGCCGGGCGTAACGGGGCGAAACTGGTGCTGGAAGGTTGTGGATAGATTCTTTCGCTAAGACGGCCAGTGGAGACAGACCTACCTCTTGCTCCAGCCCTGTAGGCCCTCATGCGATTGGGGGCGGCATTCCGTGTTACCGCGGCCTTGGCCACATAATGTCAGATTACGCCCGGCGCTCAGGCCGCCTCGCCCCTACGCCACTCCACTGCAGCGGCGCAAGGATTCCTCTTGGCAGAGGAGCCTCAAATGGTGCCATTCATCCATGCATAAGTGTCTCACCGTAAATTGCTCCGCCCATGGTTGGCCTGTGTTCCTGCTGTGGGGTTTAATACAGAGCAAAGCCGTCCGGACAAGCGCTTTTGGTTCCGAAGAGCACAAGACATTTGCCCAATAATGGGACCCATTCCAGGACTACCTAATACTTGATACAGAACGCAACTACCATACTGAGCATGGTGTTCGGCAAGATGACTGCAATTGACTGCTCATAGCTCGTCTTCCAAAAACTTGTACGCAAATCGGAAGTCTGCTTTCCTTCGGTTCATCCTAGGCGGGACGTTAGCTCTGTATGACGTGCAGAAATAGCACAATGGGGCGCAGTTTGTAGTACGGCGGCCTGGCTGGCCCAAGGCCGAGGTACAAGATCAAGTGCTTACCATGTGCTCTCATAGTCGAAGAATCGGTATGTTCCTTGTTCGTAGTCTTCGGTTATCGCTTTTGGTTCCTCGTGTCTCTGGAACCAAGTTTGGTATTGCTTGTGGAATCTCCAGCTCTGCGACTTTAGTGCCTTGGCGGCCAGATATTGCTGATATGTGCCTTGACGGTAGTAGAAGGCATAGAAGAGAGCATCGGTCTCGATGCGGGAGTACAAGCGAGGATCGTCAAATATCGGCAACGGCTCTTGCGGGTAGTGGGCAGGCGTGAACGGGTATGGGTTTTGGGGACGGTAGTGACGCGGCGCCTCAGTGTCTGCGGACTCGGGGGCGGTGGCCATGGATGCCACGAGCATACGCTCATCCGGAGGTTTGGACGCCGAAGCAGAAATGTCATTTTTGGTCGCCTCGAATGAATCAAGCAAATCCTGCAGGCTTGAGGGGAGGTGGTAGACCGACTCTTCTTCTTCATCTTCGGCGTGCGAGTCTCCGTTCGTCAGTGGTGGTGTGGCAGCCTGGGATTCCTCTTCTTCTACAGGCTCGGGAGCAGGCGTTCTCCTATTGGCCTTGGAGGCATCATCGGCCGGTGCAGCTTGCGCAGGTGCTTCCTTCTCCACGGCAGCCGTCGCAGGTACGCTAGCGGCAGGAGCAGGTGAGGCCTGTGCGGACTTGGCTGGCTGTGCTTGTGAGGCTGGCTGGGAATGCGTTATGGCTGGTGAGCTGGTTGCGCTTGCACGTGCGCCGCCAGCAGTGAGGCTGGATTGAGCCGCAGAGGCGCCAGGTGGTGGTGGCAATGGGGCAATGCCCACTCCATTCTTATCGCTAGCAGCCGCAGCAGCCGCAGCTGAAGCATATTTCAATGGCTCTCCTGGCGTTCGCGTTGGTATCGGCGCGGGCTTCATCGCGTTTGCCGTAGTATTTGCAGAGCCAGGCGATGGCGTATGCAACGTCGCTAACGCCGGTAATGGCGACTTCATCTGCGTCGACGATCGCCTTGCCCCTTGCTGCACGGCTTCGGCTGCCTTTGGTTTTGGTGCTGGCGGCCGTATGTCTGACTCGGGGGTGTCGTCGGCTATCGACTGCGATTCGTGTGACGAGACATGGTCGAGGTTCTCGCCCAGTCCGTACATGGCCTCCTCTTCCTGCAGGTTGAAGTCGTCGTACAATGTGTCGTCGTCCATGAACTCGGGGTCTTGGTTGCTCTCGACGTAGTACTTGATGCTGTCCTCAATCTCCTTGACCTGTTCTGTCTCGACGCTGCCATTCTCCAGCGCGCGCTGCAGCAGGTCCAGCTTGGATTGGTGCCATTTATTCCGTTCGACCGCCTCTTCCAGCTCGGACACGCGCTCTATTTTGGAATTGTCGCCCTTCTTGGACTTTTTGACGTTGGCGTTGAGCGTCTCGACCTCGGCCTCGATTGTTTCTATTTGTCGCTCGAGCTCCTCGTTCATGTGCTGCAGGAATTCAACCATTTCCATCTTTTCCCTGTCTTTGGGGTCAATCTTGGATGCTAATTGGAGGCCTTCTTTGGAATATGCCTTGGTCTTCATCTCCTTTTCAACGGCCTTGAAGCGCTCCATTTGCTGTCACTCGTCAGTCACGGCATTGCCCCGGGACGCGGCAGGCACCCTACTGTCTCGATGAGCTTGCGGTGGTCTAGCAGCGGCTTCTTGTCCTTGATCTCGGACATGGCTGCCCATGTCTTGATCTGGTCCCGCGACCGTTGCAGTTTCTTAATCTCCTTCTTCAGCTGGTCCTCGAGCTTCTCCTTCTGCGACGGATTGCCCGTCTGCATAATCTTCTCATAGATGCTTTCAAAGGTCGCGACGCCTTCGGCGACCTTCTTGAAGCATTTGTCGATCTCCTGCTGGAGTTTCCGTGCGGCCATGGCGAATGTCGAGCCTTGCAGTGCGGGCGGGGGCGGGGGGCGGGGCGGCGATGGGGCGGTGATGGGGGTGTCCGCGAGGGCTCAGTAGTAGGCGGGCGCGGGGGCGGGCGGCCGGCGGGAATGGTGCGAGACTTTGTATCGTGGGCTGGATGTGCAGAGGGTGAGGCATGGCATGGGTAACGCGAATCCCTAGGCCGGGCCTAGCGCCTGTGCCAAGAGTGCGGCCGCTAGCCGTCACCAGCCCCACGCGTCGCTGTTTCACGTTCGCGTTGCACAAGTCTTCAGCCTCGTCTCACCTCTGTCGGATACGCCAATTCCCATGCGTGACGTAGTTGCGCCTTGTTGCTTTGTTTTCCCGTAAGGCTGTCCCAGCATCGAGCCGCTTGAGCGCGCGCATCTGTGTCTCTGTGTGTGTGTGTGTGTGTGTGTGTGTGCAGACGCTAGGCATTCGGCGGCGCTGGCCTTGCCATCACGGCCACTTTTACTGTCGCTATTACCCCGCCACCATGAGAAGTACAGGCCCCTCCCGCCCACGTGCAACCACACCCACACTAACAGTGCCCAGCCGTGCTGCAGAGGGTCAAGTCGGCCTCCGTCACGGTCGACGGCCAGCTCATCTCCTCCATCGGCAAGGGCCTGCTGGTCCTCGCCGCCGTCTCCAAGGACGACACGGAGAAGGATGTCGAAGCCATGGCGGCCAAGGTGCTCAAGGCCAAACTCTGGGACGACGAGTCCAAGGATCCGCCAGGACGCGTATGATGTCTCCCTCGGCCGTGTCTGCTCGTGGCACTGACTATGCAAGTGGAAATGCGCCGTCACGGATATACAGGGCGAGGTCCTGTGTGGTATGTAGTCCACTATCAAGGCTGCAAGGTATTGGGTGGGCTGTCTCAACGTGTGCATGGAAGCCGCCCGTGCCCTCGAAAGGCAATTTCTAACGTCTCACAGTATCCCAGTTTACCTTGTTGGCATCGATGAAAAAAGGAAACAAACCAGACTTCCACCAGTCGGCAAATGGCGACCAGGCCCGCACGTTATATCAGGCTTTCTTCAACAAAGTCGGAGCCTTGTATAAAACTGAAAAAGTCAAGGATGGCTTGTTTGCTGCTATGATGGATGTTGCTCTGGTCAACGACGGGCCGGTAGGTTTGGACTATACCAGCCTGGATGGCGAGGTACAGCTTCAGCATTGCATTTCTGAGTGTGCTCCGCTTGCTGCTTCAGGTGCTAACCATTGCCTCAAGGTCACAATTCATATTGACACGAATCCGCCCAAGACTCAAAATACAAGCGACCCTGGCTCTGAGTCGGCTGGCTCGAATAGTAAAAGACCGCCAACCGTCGATGTCAATGACCGCAAGTAGCATGTACCTGGTCTATGCCAAATCCTTACTGACTTGCCACCTTGCTTAGTTGTTGATAACCTGACTAAAATCACGAAAGAGTTTAAAATACCCGTAGAACGTCTGGACTAGAAGGCGGCAGATCCAACCATCGTTCCGATTACTTGAGCCTCAAAACCCACCGAATGAAGCTATCCGGAGTTTGCATTAAGCATATATGTCATCTCTTACACGTATCGCCATGTCGGATTTGCAGTATCCGCCCTAACTAAAAAAAATCACCGATGATCATTCTTGAAATCTTTGGCGTTGCGTTCCCAGCATACAATCCTATTGCTATTATGAAACCATCGGCCTAATCTGAAGGATCTGTGCATGACCGACTGCACCCGTCCCGAAGCAAATCTTACTCGATCATGGCCCACTCAAGCAATCTCATTTTATTATTATTTTTTAAACTGGCCGTCACCCAATCGGACCGTTACAAGCCGTTGTTGATGAAAGGGTGTTCGTACGTAGCGACACCAATGCACACCACGTTACATGTAGCAGCTCACACATGTTTATCGCCACTTCTATTTCATAGACTAACACATATGTGAGGGGATTTTACGCCTGGGATATCAACAAGACGACTCTGGCGTACATGCTAAGCAAGATTATACAGTCACAATTGGCTTGTTGTCAATCGACTGGCAATTAAGCTACGCCTTGCTCTAATACACAAAGAATGGGGGCTAAACGAATCCATACAGCAAAACTGGATAACATAGTCTGCAAACAGCGCTGCTTGTATGAGGGTAAATGCTACAACCACTGACATACTGACGCGTCACTCATGAATGCTGCTTTGCTGATCCTTCGCATAGCACGCCAGCGACTAGACAGCGTTTCATCCGCACACATTGAACAGTTTACAGGAGTGGAATCGGCATTTTCCTATTCCAGCCACCATGACGAACGTGTATCAGATGCCATACCCGAAGTTGCTGCCTGGACGAGGGCGGTGGCGAGTTGCGTTCTCTGCTGACAAACCGGCTAGCATTTAGTCATATCCGGTTTTACGGCCTCTTATGACGCTTTCCTACCGATACAGAATCTATCTACCTATCACCATGCGAGATTCTACATCATGCTCACACTCTACCGATAGCTTTGTCCGAACTCGAGCCATGTCAATATTTTCTCATATACTAATACCCCTCTTTTTGATTTTTTAGTACCCGTTGCTGCAGACTCAAGTTCCGATTGGAGATTTCGTTACCCGCCTTTTTATCTTCGTGCTTTGATATATCCTCCTCTGAGCTGACGATTGTTCCCCTTTTCCGCATTGTACGTCACGTGACTGAATGCCATAGTGGGATTAGGGGCCCAATAGCATATTTCTTTTGGAATTGTATGCCAATGCAAGGACAATCAATAAGAGCGGTGAGAAGAAAAGATGGAGAGACAACTAACTACTGGGTGGAGCACTTCTGCTTTGTGCGCTCGCAGATCCCGCTCCGATGCACAAACGGCTCGACTCTTCACAGCCATCTATAGGGCTACCAAATAATGGGCCTGAGTGCTGCGCGACACACAGAGCGTCAGGCGGAGACTCCTTTCCCGAAGTTAGGCCGGACGGAGTATTGATCTCTCCGACTTTTGTAATCGCTACGCAGACTTTCGTGGGAACTTTTCTACAGGCGAGATGGAATTGCTATATGCCAGGCAGAGCTGAGCCTACGAATATGGAGCAGTGGCTGCCGGGACTAGGCTGAAATGGCGCATCCATCATTTACAAAGGGTATGGGCGGGGAGCCACGTTACTTTTGGGCGGACTGGAGTGCGCTGGGCTAGTACGCAGGACTATCGGAGGCCAATTCCCCCCGACGGCCGCCATCCCGAGAATAGCGAGCTTTCCTACAGCGCGCCCCAGATCAGCCTTGGTGGGCTTGCTGTATGGAAACATCTCGGAGTCTAATCATAGCCGCGGCGAGAATTAGGCAGCGATCACTTGGTTGCTGTATAAAGCGCAGGTTTGCTGGCGGCCATATGATTGCATACATACAGCATGTATGCACATCTTTCGGCGCCGCTGCCGTCTTTGAACTAGACGACGCCATTGTATTGAATGCATCGACTTTGCTCCACCGCGGAGCGATTTAGAACGTTTCGCTTCGCCTCGTATTCGTCGTATCCTCTAGTAGCCACTCGAAACAAAGCCCGCCCGCCCGCCTTATCCACCTATTAGGGGCCACGACCGCGGTGCCGAGGCTTGAATCGTACGCTGCATCAGACGCGGCCTAGCATAGTCCAGAGCGGAACAGTGCACCCGTCCCCTGCAACAAGGATCTTGGATTATCGAGGCCCGTGAGTGGCGTCGTAGGAAACTCGAGAAACTTGCTGCTCGGGTTTCTTTCTTTGCACCTCCATCCTTCTTGAACACACAGGAGGTGCTTCGATCGCTGCCGCGCAGAGACCAGCGACAGGACGGCACGCTCACCATCACCTGAGCATGGATCACGACTCCTCCTCAAAGGCCAAGGCCACGGAAACGGCCAGCTTCACAGCCGTTGAAGAGAAGCAGGAAATCAAGTCGGAAAAGGAGCTCAGCCCACCCACAGCTTCTCTAAGTGAGAAAGAGAAGGATCTCATCGACAGACAACTGACTGCACCAAACCTCACCGTCGGCTACTTTTCTCTGTTTCGGTATGCGACCGCCAAGGACAAGGCCATTATGGTTGTGGCCTTGATCGCCAGTATTGCGGCCGGGGCTGTGTTGCCTTTGATGACGGTAAGTACTACATACAGACTTTGCGCTCATAGACGCCAGGGAGGCTTGGGGGAAGGGTCAAAGCACACGAGTAGGCCACAGCCCGTAAGACACTGAAGCTGACTTTACGCAGCTTGTTTACGGTAATTTCACGGGAAGCTTTACTGGCTACTCAGTCGATGCCGTCGCTGCTGCCAAATTCCAACATCAAGTCAAGACCTTTACGCTGTACTTTGTGTACTTGGGCATTGCTGCTTTTATTACCTCGTACATTAGCATCATGGGTTTCTCGTACACTGGAGAACGCATCACACGAACAATCCGAGTACTCTACCTGCGCGCCATCTTTAGGCAGAACATTGCCTTCTTCGACTTTCTGGGATCCGGAGAAGTCACTACCCGTATCAGCTCCGACATGAACTTGGTCCAGGATGGTATCGGTCAGAAGATTGGCTTGTTCGTTACTGGTGTTTCCATGTTCGCATCCGGTATCGTCGTTGGTTTTATCAGATCATGGAAACTCTCCTTGATCATGCTATCAGCCACCCTTGCGTTGATATTGATGATGGGTGTTAACGGTACCTTGATGAAGAAAGCGCAAACCCTGTCTATCGACGAGTACGCTACAGCTGCTTCTCTGGCTGAAGAGGTCCTCTCCTCAGCTCGCAATGTTGCTGCGTTCGGAACCCAGAAGCGGCTCGAGGCAAAGTACAAGGCTTTTGTGGACCGTGCAACTTTGCTGGACTATCGGGCCAAGTTCTGGCTGTCGATGATGATTGCTGGTATGATGGGTGTGCTCAACCTCCAGTATGCCCTGGCCTTTTGGCAGGGTAAGCATTTCCTGGACAACGGAGAGCTCGGTGTCTCGAACATTCTCACTGTCGTCATGGCACTCATGATTGCTGGATTCTCCATCGGACAGAACCTGCCTCATATTCAAGCTTTTGGTGCGGCTACTGCGGCGGCTACCAAGGTCTTCAACACGATCGAAAGAAACTCGCCCATCGACCCCGAGACCGACGAAGGCATTGTCCCCGACGACTTTGTTGGAAACATTGAGTTTAGAAATCTCAAACACATATATCCGTCTCGACCGGATACCACAGTGCTCTCGGATTTCAACCTGGTTGTTCCTTCAGGCAAGATGATAGCGCTTGTTGGTGCATCGGGATCAGGAAAATCTACCATTGTCGGACTGTTGGAACGCTTTTACCTGCCAATGGAGGGCCAAATCTTTTTGGATGGCAGGGACATCACCACTTTGAACCTTCGTTGGCTGCGTCAGCGTATGGCTATTGTCAGCCAGGAGCCTATACTGTTCAGCACCACCATCTACGAGAGTATTCTGCATGGGCTGGTCAACACAGAGTACGCAAATGTATCGGACGAGAAGAAGATGGAACTCATCGAACAAGCCGCCAAGATTGCCAATGCCCACGACTTCATCATGGACCTACCAGAGAAATACCAGACCAAAGTTGGAGAGCGAGGTGGGCTGCTTTCCGGTGGACAAAAGCAACGTATCGCCATTGCCCGTGCCATTGTCTCGGATCCCAAGATTCTTCTTCTCGACGAAGCCACTGCCGCTCTTGATACCAAATCTGAGAGTGCAGTCCAGGACGCCCTTGATCGAGCATCGCAGGGACGTACGACGATTGTCATTGCTCACCGACTATCTACTATCAAGAACGCCGATAACATTGTGGTCATGGCATTGGGCCGGATCGTCGAACAGGGTACGCACCAAGAACTTATCGACCTCAACGCCGTGTACGCAAGCCTTGTACAGGCCCAAGAGCTTACCTCGAAGATCAACCCTGCCAACAGGATGTCACTTCTAGAAGAACCTGAGAAGGCAGCAGGGGGCGAAACAGACGAAAAGAATCTTACCCTGATGCGAACTGCGACATCTGCTCCTTCCGAGTTCCTGGCAAAGAAGGATGAAAAAGACAAGAACTATGGCACGTGGGAGCTGATCAAGTTCAGCTGGCAGATGAACAAGGGCGAACATGTTACGATGACGTTGGGACTGGTTTTCAGCTTCCTCGCTGGCTGCAACCCTGCCATGCAGGCCATCTTCCTTGGTAACTCGATCAATTCGCTTCTGTCACCCGGAACGTCGCTTGGTGGGCTTAACGTCGGCTTCTGGTGCTACATGTTTCTTATGCTCGGACTTGTAATGATCATCTTTCACTATGTCCAGGGTGTGACCTTGTCAAAGGGATCCGCTAAACTCATCGGCAGTGTGCGAACGCAGGCTTTCGCAGCCATGCTCCGCCAAGACATGGAGTTCTTCGACGGCGAGACAGTAACATCGGGAGCTCTCAGTAACTTTTTGTCATCCGAAGCAAACCGCCTTGCTGGTCTTAGTGGCTCTACCCTCGGATCCATTGTCAGTGCTGGTGCTTCCATCATTGTTGCTTTTATCGCCGCATGCTCGTTTGGATGGAAGCTGGCTTTGGTGTGTTCCTCGACCATTCCTCTGGTTCTCGGATGCGGTTACTTTCGCCTGTACGCGCTTACTCGCATGGAAAAGCGAACCAAGGAGACATCTGATGCTGCAAGCTTCGCGTGTGAAGCTGCCTCCTCTATCCGCACTGTCGCCTCGCTCTCACTCGAGAAGCATCTCCTGGACGAGTACCACAAAAAGCTTGGTGCGCAGGGCAAGGGCTACTTGAAATTCACAAGTGTGTCGGCTGTGCTCTACGCTACATCACAAGGACTGTCCCTGCTGATCTTCGCCTTTATCTTCTGGTACGGTGGTCGATTGCTCTTCAACCGAGAGTACACTGTCTTGCAGTTTTTCATCATCTACTCTGCAATTGTAAACGGTGCTCAATCGGCTGGCGCCATCTTCTCCTTTGCTCCGGATATGGGCGAGGCCAAGGATGCCGCTAAGCTTCTCAAGTCGTTCCTGAACCGCGTCCCTAAAATCGATCACTGGTCTCCAGATGGCATCCAGATTGAGCGTCTTGCGGGCAAGGTCGAGCTACAGGATGTACGCTTCACATATCCAGGACGACCAGACCACCGCGTCTTGCGTGGCATCAGTCTTTCGGCTGAGCCTGGCCAATTCATTGCGCTTGTCGGCGCCTCTGGTAGCGGAAAGTCGACAGTCATGCAAATGCTCGAAAGATTCTACGACCCAACCAGCGGTGCTGTCCTCGTTGACGACGTGCCATTGACCGACTACAACCTCCAAAGCTACCGCTCACAATTAGCCATTGTTAGCCAAGAAACCACCCTCTACACCGGCACGATTCGCGAGAATATTCTGGCCGACAAGGAGGAAATGAGTGATGATGCTGTCATACAGGCGTGCAAGGATGCAAACATCTATGACTTTATCACATCATTACCAGACGGTTTCAACACTCTGGTCGGTGCAAAGGGTGCTCTTCTTTCGGGCGGTCAAGTAAGCTCTTCTCTTTATTTCTTTTTTACACACAACACCTACTGACTGCTTCCCAGCGCCAACGCATGGCTATTGCTCGTGCCCTCCTCCGCGACCCCAAAGTGCTTCTTCTCGACGAAGCCACTTCCGCCCTGGACTCCGCATCCGAGCGCGTCGTACAAGAAGCCTTGGACTCTGCATCCAAGGGCCGCACTACAATCGCCATTGCGCATCGACTCAGCACAATCCAACACGCAGATCTCATCTATGTGTTTGACAAGGGCAAGATTGTGGAGAAGGGCAGACATGAAGAGCTGGTAGCTAAAAAGGGCGTATACTTTGAATTGGCCAAGCTACAAGCCATTGGCGCTCCACAATAGTAGACTTTTTGTGGCGTCTGCATATGTTAATGCTGGTGTATAACGTGGTTCATAAGCGAGTCGGTCACCCAAGCGAGTCGGTCACTCCCCACCAGCGCGTTGACGTTGACACGTTATCACAGTCTTTTATTACAGTCAATAAACTATTGCAATATACCAAATTAATTGTCAGAATCGCTACTATCACTTACACTATCTATCTCAACTGCGCAGGTACGAGCGTTGTGTCCAGTCTGCTTGCAACGCCCGCACCGCCGCTCTCCTCGCACCCTCTTCGACGCACTCTCACCATCACCACGACTGCTACCCGCCTGTTCAGCTAATACTTCTTGTACTTCGCCTACAGTAAGAGTCTCTTCTGTCCGTACGTATCGCCACTTGCGGCTCTTACGCTTATTTGCTGTGTCTAGAGCCTCTCGAAGAGCAGCTACTTCCTCCCTCATAAGCGTCATCTCATGTGCTATTTGCGTAAGCCCCTTTA